ACAACACAGGTCCCAACACCGATCCCTGAGTTAAGACCATAGGAGATGTCAATGGAAAAAGAGAAAAGTGCACAGAAGTTTTAGATAAAGGATATTGAAAAGCAATAACAAACTGGATGTTTTACAGTTATTGTGTCTCACTCCTTTCTGTTTCATAACACAAGAGCGTTATCCAGACATAAAAAATAAGCTTCAAAAATGCATATAATTAAGCATCACCATTGAAAGAATGATGATGGGAAATATCTCTCTCCTGCTCTGTTAACTGGCAATGCCAATACAGGACGAATAATGCAATCTGATTTAATATTATAAAAATAGGTAAGATAATATGCTTAGTTTTGTTTCTACAACTGCTCACTACCACTATGTGATCTAGTAGCAAGTTTTAAAAGTGTGCGTATATCATCCTCCACCCAGAACCCTCCAATAAACAAAATAACTTTCCTATAAAACATTTTTGCAATGAAACACCCACTGATTGGGAAGTTTAAAGCCAAGCTAAATAAAACATTTTTAAATTGGCACTCTCCAAACTTGTCAATTCTATTTAATAAGCTGTTGTTGCCCTCTAGTGTTCAAACACAGTTTGTAAACGCCCCTCCAGAAAGATCCAAGCTGGCCACCTAACAATTCCCCATTTGTTCTTAATACAAACAAACAAACAGATGGCAAAACAAGAGGTAAGTGTTTTAGAACACCTGCCTAGTACCCACTTTTCTTTGCTCAAGCATGAAAAAGGATTTTTAATATAAGAACATTTAAAGTTGTTTCACTCAAAGATTGTGAAAGGTCACTTAGCATCCTCAGCAAATTAGTCATGGTACTAGTGCACCTCTCTGCTTTACTTCTGCCATTTATTGTGCTTGATATACATTGCTGTTTGGGTTGGAGGGCAATGTTTCTAATGATATTAGCCAAATACATGTCTGGTGCTCTGAACAACCCCGAGAAATGTCTGCCCTTCTTCTCTTAAATGTATGTCTACTGTACTGTGCCATATCAATTAATACAAACCATCTTTCCCTCTAACGAATTAGTTGTTACAGCAGAAGCCCACCGTGAGGATTCAGGGGTTCTCCTCAGCACCTCTCCTGCAATAAGCTGCTATGTTGGCAGCAGCAATGTAGAAGACTTCTCACAAAGTTGTATTTCTTTTGAGAGAAAATTAGTCAACCTGAGATCTGCACCTGTATTTTTACATCCCACATCTGGGCCTAGTACTTATTTTGTTAACTAATTTCCCAGAAATGTGGTTCCCCTTTGTCCTGTTCCTTGACCAAAAACCTTTGAAAATAGCTATTAAAAAAAAAAAAAAAAGAAAGAGCCTGAGGTTAATCAAAGTGCAGTCAACAGGCAAGCTGATGAACTGGACATACTTTTCTTTTGTAATTCTATTCATTTGTAAGAGGTTACACAGAATGTTTTTCATTCAAGCTTTGTCAGACTTAGGCAATGTAGAAAACCACCTGGTTTCGTATCTATGAAGCAATTTGCAGCCCCCACATAGTAAGAATTCAACTTCTTGACATAAGTAACACTGACTCTTCTTTGATCTTTGAATAATGGAATTTTCAGAGAATTTTCTGCATAAAATTGTTGTTAGAGCTCTCAGAAAACTTGCCTTGAGGCCATTTTTGGATCATGCCTGTTTCCCACTGCACTAGGCTTGACAGATCTAACAACCTCTTGGACGTGAGTCACGTTTCATATTTTGTAATAGAATTGTTTCCTTGTATTCATGAGGCACCCTTCCTTCTCTGTCTTGATGTTTTCTGTTGCTTATGCTGCCTGCCACACAGATAGTTTGAAATCTAGTCTTTCACTCTAAAAACAGGTTTAGACTGGGTGTATGTGAAGGGAAATGTGAATAATACAAACTGGAAGTTGTGTAGCTCACATGTACTCTCATTCATCTCTTGTTGCAGTCAGAAAAAAAAAATACAAAGCAGCTATGGTTATTGCCAGTCACATGGATATGACCCTAGAAGGGAAAAGGGTGTGCTTTGAGAGCCAGCAAGAGCTCTGCGTGTTCAGGAGGTACAGTCCATCAGTGTTGCAAGCAGCTTTTTTGAAAGCCACCAGCCTGGTGAGGGAAGTAGAACACCAGAAGCATGAAGATAATGCAAGCTTGTTCATCTGCTCTTGGTGACCGTAGCAAACTTCTTTGAGGTTGACACCCTCCTACAACATAGCCACCATTCTCCTCTGAAACTTTTTTACCTCCCGTTAGATGTTCAGCAAATGGAGACCATCCTTTCTGTGTGTCTTCTGCCAGTAATACATCTGTTGTCTTTGCTAAGCCCCCTCACAAGTTTCTGCCTGCTCTGCAGTCAGGTGTTGAGTCTCAATTGTTAGGGATCTAAGTGTATTAGAACAGATTCTCTCTCATGCATATGCCAAGTCACTTGGTCAAGCTGTTTGTCACGAAAGAGCTTGACTGCAGCTTGCTTTACTTTGATATGATAAAAACTCCTTCTCTCCAATACGTATTACAAAAAAACCCTAACATGTTACAGGGCATCAAGCTCTTTGGAAAAGACAAACTCACATTTGCCCCATTTGGTTTTAAGGATAAAACCATGTGATGTGTGTTGTGATGTATGCAGAAAAAAACCCCACTAAGGATACATATATACCCATAAACTGTATGTAGCTAAGGAAATTAAGCTGGTTTATGTATACCACAGGTTTTACTGTTTGTACCTAAAACCATTTGGATGCAAAGTTCTACTATTAAGTACTCCTTTAAGGCTACAAATAGAGTAAATAGGATTGCCAGGCAATCATGTAACACTATAGCATTTGGTGGAAAAGCACTGAAAATGCTCAAGCACTGCACAGGTACTCAGTTTATTAGGTGTACTTCTATTCCACTAATCTCATCATAGTACAGATTAAGCTCTTGAAATGCTTTTTCTCCTTAAATATAAGACCTTCTTAGCTTAACTTGGATTTGAATGTTTATTTTGGGGATTTAGTCATAAATCAAAAATGATAGACATTATAGTTCAGTGTAGAAACAGCAGTTCTCTACTCTACCAAAGCCATCTGCCACTTTTCCATTAGTGGCCATAAAAGGAATCCATCCTCTTCTGAGATTTCGCTATCTACAGTTCCATTTCAGAGTTGTCCTCTCAAAGATGAGATGCTCCTCACAATCTTATCCCTCTCCCTATCATACGTCAGCATACATTCCATTGATCAAGTAATCCAGCCTGGTATAATGCCTCTTCTGAAAAGATTCATGTATTTTCTTCCCAGTCAGTGCAATAACTAGCACCAAGAATATCACCCCAAAGAGCAATGCTGCTACAAGGCTGCTTTTTTCTCCCAGCTGAACGACACTCCTCCCTCTCAGAGGGCTCTCTGGCAGGTAGCTTTCTAAATCAGATGGGTCATAACCCTGAACATTGTTTTGCGAAGACATGGGGGAATCACTAGCAAACAGAGTGAAACCTGAAAAAGAGAAGAGGGTTACATGGCTAGTAATGTTGGAAGAGACAACTGTTGGCTCAGGAGGGATGGCTGGAGTTCTTCGCCCTGATGAGGTAGCAGCAGATCTTGAAGTTGCGGTCACCTGCTTGGTTGTAGAAGCACAAGCAGAAGTTGTGGGACTAGAAAGAGGAACCTGAGTAACAGCAGTGCTCATGGCAGGGATACCAGGTTTAGCTCTGGCAGTCACAGTAGGTGGAAAGGTAGCTCTGGTGGTGGTGGTGGTGGTGACAGTAGTAGGGTTAGCACCACCAGGGTGCAGAGGGGTTGTACGATACTCCAGTCGGGTGGTACTTGTAGGCAGAGGAGTCAGAGTAGTACTGCTGAGGTCAGGACCATTAGACTGAGTGTTGGGGAACAAAACAGAGGGTCTTCCATTTTGATCAGCAGAAGACATATTTTGTGGCAGGTCAATTACTTTCTGCTTTGGGATGGGATCTAAGGTCTCAGGATGTTTTGCCCTTTGATATTCAGGAAAAAATGTATGAAATTCAGTGTTGTCTAAATGTTTGCTCATGCGGTCTGGGAGTTCAGGTGCGTGATGAAAGACAGTTTGTTGCAAAGCAGCAGTATGATTCTGATGGCTAGTCTGGCTGCGAGAAATAAAGGCTCCAGCATCCGAAGACAATGAATACTCATTTGAAGAAAAGTCCTCACTTCTGAAGGATGTATCCTCTGGGGCATGGGTATCTGGAAACAGAAAGGAAATACCAGTATTTCATTATTTTTTATTACTACAGGCTTACTCTATTCGTATTTCTTAGTAAGAGAGATATAAGAGGGCTCCAAAAAGACTAGTGAAACTGAGGCATCACTATCTTCCTTTCTTTAAAATATGCAGAGTGACTTTTAAATCCTGTCTGTGTCATGAGACCTGTCAGCCTCAAGCCTGGGCACATCAGACCCTGACTACAACTTCCTACAGAATTTACCTATGCAGAGCCATCATCCCAATCTGACTGTTTTATACTCATATTGCATGCATGTTAGCATTTATTTATTTAGATTTGAAAAGCAGAGTGAGTAGGCTCATTGTCTTCAAATCATTCTTAGCCTTTGTCAGGTAAGGAGTCGGTATCATCAACCTCACTTTTGTCAGATGTACACATTTCTACCTAGCCAAGATGATTATACCCTTCCCTTTCTTGTAGTATCCAAGCACTCTGTGATTGCTTGACACAATTCAATTCACACAAAAAATTGTCTTATAATACCAGGTGGCAATAATAGCCCCATTTCATAGGCCATTTTATACACATACTGATTTGAAGGAAAGACCTGAGCTTCTGCTGCTACGCTAGAAGAAAGACGTTGCTCCAAGGGTCTCTGAGGTATTTGCTGTGAAGACCTCCAGAAGAAGCAGACTACACTTCATAATGTCTTCAGAAGTTGATATGTATTCCTTGCAAAACATGTGGGTGGATGTCATTTCATAGAATTTGGAAGCAAGGCAACAGTGTTGTGTGACAGAAATTCCATACAAACAATAATCCTAGCAGTTAACTGATTCTAAACAGTATTATTTTCATTGTCATTTTGTCTAAGTAGGATCTCTTATCTAAAGGGATGGTATATTTTCAGTTTTATTATACGTGCAAAGAAGCCTACTTAGCTGCTGCTTCCATGTGTATTTCCAAGCCTTAAGACTCCACAAAAAAATGAAATGAAAGAAAAACACCCAACCCAAAACAGCAATCCAAAACCTGTCAATGCTTTAAACAAGAGCACAGCAAATACTTCTTGAATCATAGACACCAATTTTTATCCTCACCTTCCAGTCAAGCACAAGCTTGTTACACAAGTAACATCTTAAACACAGATAACAGACTGACTTAGAGAAAAGCCATACTGTGTTTTTAGAGAATGGCTTTAAATAACAAAATGTTCAGTTATTGCAAAATTATACATATATATGCACATATAAAATATGCATCATCAGAAACTGTATGCTTAAAGACAGCCAAACTGTTTCTGCAACTCTGGACACATTTCCGCACCAGCGAGGAAATGGCCTGTCACCACTACGGACGGACTCAGTGACCAATTCACATTTTCTCTGTTCCCGACGCACTCCCATGGATGCTCCCCTCTGTGTGTTTAAACAAACAGCGGATGTAGCGTGACAGCTACAAAGCATTTGCAGCATGCTCTGTCATCTTCAGTTCATGCGCCTGGGCAACAGCCAGAAAAGCACGGAGCAATCACGCAGCATTCAAAGGATGAAGGAGCTTAGGGAGGCTACGTATGAGTCCCGTACAGGAGTTAAGTATCACTGCTACTCTGCAGCACTCAGATTAATTAATGTAACTGAGCACTGCACTACATGCAGGATGAAAGCACATGCACAATTACATTTCTTGTTTCTTTGTTTGAAACCCCTATATTCTTCTAGGGGAAGAAGAGCTGGAGAAAATAATAGTTCCAATGATAATTTTACAGGCATGCAGTTCATGTTTTGCACATTGCTTTTGCCCAAATCCTGTGTGATTGTGCTTGCACAAAAGTATTTGGTAACGTATGTGAATAATCTTTCTACATATCCTGCTGTTGCATAGTCCTCTTGGAAAAGTTCTCTTCTTCAGCAAAGAATCAGTCTCTGGAAATAAGAAATACTTGCTCTCTCAAGCAGCCACACTGAAAGCACCTTGTGAACTCTTGGCAGGAGGACAGTCTTAACTATTGGTTTCTTATCTGAACTGTTCAAACAGGTTTGGTGCAAGTCAACATCAGTCAAGAAGTACAAGTTGCTTTAAAAAAATCCCACTGCACATGACAGATAGTGGGAAATTTCTGAGCATGCAGCCCACATGCCATAAAGCTGAGTTTAGACAGTTTGCGTCCGTGCTTCAGGTTCCCTAACTGAAAACAGAAATTAACCATTACTATTGCCAGTTACTCAGCAACATCACCATCGTGCTTTGAGGCTTGCCCAGCATTTGCTCAGTGTTTCTGCCTGCATGTGTATGGTGTTCATCGGTGTAGAATGGCTCCTTGGAGGACACAGGTGGCTACAAGGGCATCATATTCCCATTGCTTTTAGTGATACTTTTCAGCATTACATACAGGAAATTTTCCTTCTCAAATACGCAAAGATGGAAGCAGCTTCTTTTTGTTTTAAGCAAGGAAAAATTATGATGAGTTCTGAATCTAATGTGAAGGAATTTCGTAAGGGTCAGGATGTTACTCCAACGAGGCTGGGTCCACACAGGAGATCACCACACACCTGCCCATCCAACTTCCACAAAGCAAAAGAGTGTCATTTTCAAACTACAGCGCTTGTCTTAGAGCATTTTACTAGAACAGCAACCCTCAAACATTTTCTGGTCACTACTGAAAACTCATGGCTGCCAAACTCATCTAGTGTAGAGACTGGTAGCTCTTACTGTTATTTACCTCTAGTTATCTTGTAGCTCACAAGTCCTGTCGCAGGTTTCATCGGGCAAGCCTCTGTGCTAGGGCAGTAAAACAGGTAGCAGTTTGGATGTGCGCTTGTCCTTCGAGCATCAAAAATCATCAGATTGCAATTCTTGTCTCCTGCAAAACATGATAACGACATGTTTCAGCGATAAGAACTTTTACAGAATCTTGATAATGAGCTCTAGTGTGTTAAATTAGTTTTTCTTCATGTAAGTAAGAGGAAAACTACTGACATAAAACATGCCTACAGGAAAGCCAGCCCAGAACTGCAAAAGAATGGCCGAGGGCCAGTATACAGAAGGTCACACCTTCCTCTTCCTGTACAGATGAACTTGGGAAAATTAGTCTAATCCCTCACCCTCCCCTTGCTCCTACCACACTAGCACCACTTTGTAATTTCTTGCTTATAAATCCTGATAAATTGGAGAACCTCCTTGATATGCTCATGGGGGAGGAAATGATTTATACACGTTTCCCTATCACATCCCACGAATTGCTTGCCTTGTTCCTGCTTGTGGGGTCACCTTTACCACATCATTTTTACTTGCCTCTCTATGGCTCCAAAGCAAACCAGTGCTCTCAGAGAAGGTAAATGCTCTCTTTTTTTCTTTTAAACATAGTGCAAAATGTCAGTTACTTTTACTGTCAGCTACTCACTCAGTGCATCTACTAACCACAGCTTATACATCTCAGAGTCTGGCGATCTGAGGAGTTTTAACATTTAAAACTACCGCTGTTTCTTTGCTGCAACTATTTTCCTGAGCACTGCGGGGTCCTGCACTGAGATGTCTCCTCACGCTCGGCAAAGCAGGATCAGGAGCCGCAAGCTGTTACTTATCGCAGCGCGCATAGAGGGATAAATTAACGTTTCTGCGATGAATACAGAGGACAACATTCGAATACCACGCGACCCCAAACTCCGTAAGTAATTTCCCAACAGAGAGGAGCGGGTTACCTGAGATTTTTGCCCCCGAGCAGCAGGCGCGGGCACAAGCCTCGGGGGCTGGGACGTACACGGGCTCC